TAGAGCAGAACTCGATTAACAGCATAAATGTTAAAAAAGCAAAATTTCCCACAATATGTCGTTTTAGAAGGATGGAAGAAAGGACAGAAATACTCTCCATCAAATTTCAGTATAAATCCCAAAAATTGACGTAATATATTTACGTCAATTTAGAACAGAAATTCAATTTCTTAGCAATTTTTTAGAATTTACCTAGTAGATTTTTCGTCAAATAATGAAATTTTCTACTAAATTTCTAAATTTTCCATTTTCAAGACATTTGAAAATATGCGGATTAAGATTTTTCGTAATCCTTGTATCTTTATATCATTGGAAATATTACTGATATAAATGTGACGAATATTTTTGTTTAACAGGTCAACCCTCAGTCGCCTCTCTGAAACGGGTTTTTCGGTACCATTTCCAGAAATGATTGAAAACTCATTTAAATGTTTGCCATAAAATTTAACAATATGTCTCTGAATAGACCAACACTTGAAAATCAGCCCAAACGCCAAAAATCTTAAAAACATAAAAAACACATTTTAGGGAATCTTATTCCGAGTTTGTACCAATTTTCCCCACTAAATATCGGTTTAGAAAGATGCTATAAAGGACAAAAATTTCTCCATGATATTTAAGTACGAGTCACGGTTTATATAATATATGTACCGAATATATATAGGTAAATAGATGACAAAAATCTAATTTTTTTATCATTTTTTTCGTAGAAATTGCCTAGAACTTTTTTTCAACAAATTGTGTTAAAATAACATGAAACCATATTTTTTCGTGCATAGTGTCAAAGAATTATATATTTTACGTCAAATTTCACTATGAGTTTCAAAACAAATATTTAAATTCAATAGTGTTTTAGGAAATTTACTGTTTAAAATTAAAAATATTGACAATAAATTCTTTGTTGGCTTCAGTAAGTGTTAATTAAAACCCTTTTCAGAAATATGTCAAAATCTTCAACAAGACTGAATCTTAGGAGTATTTCGTCAAAGGCAAAATTATTCTACATAAAATTTCACTTTCAGTTACAAAAGAATTTTTTTTTAATTCAAATTTTTTATTTCCATCAAATTTTACATTTTTTCCAAATATTCTCTGAAGAATAATTTTTCCAATGACTTAATCGTGCTTAAATAAAGAGGGAAGAACATAAATATGCAGAATTATTTCGAAAATATACATAAAATCCCTTTTGAAATTCGTTTATGCATGTCCGTTAGCCTGTAAGTTGACAATTTTTTATAATAATGCTATTATTAAACTGAGGACCAAAGAAGCGTGGATTTTGTAAAGATTAAATTTCAGGGACCAATATTTTTAAGATTAAATTTTCAAGGACCAAAGAAGCGTAGATTTGTTTTAAGATTAAATTTCAAGGACTAAAATTTTTAAGATTAAATTTTCAAGGACCAAAGAAGCGTGGATTTCTTTTTAAAGATTAAATTTTAACGACCAATCTTTTTAATATTAAATTTTCAAGGACCAAAGAAGCGTAGATTTTTGAAAGATTAAATTTTAAGGACCAATCTTTTTAAGATTAAATTTCAAGGACCAAAGAAGAGTAGATTTTTTAAAGATAAATTTTCAAGGGCCAAAAAAGTATAGATTTTTTTTAAGATTAAATGTTTAGGACCAAATTAGCGTGGATTTTTTAAAGGTAATTTTTTCAAGGACCAAAGAAGTGTGGATTTTTTAAAGATTAAATTATCAGGTTACATTATCAACTACCAAATTTTTTTAAAGATTACATTTTCAAGGACCAAGTTTTTTTAAAGATTAAATTTTCAAGGACCAAAAAAGCGTGGATTTTTTGAAGATTACATTTTCAAGGACCAAATTTTTTTAAAGATTAAATTTTCAAGGATCAAAAAAGCGTGGATTTTTTAAAGATTACATTTCTAAGGACCAAGGATACTAAAACAAGACCCCAAAAGTCTATGTGAAGGAATAATTAATGTATGCTGCTATTTTGATCCCATAAATTGTAAAAATATATTTTCAAAATTACTTAAGACTTTACGCCATATTTTGAAAATAACAATTTTTGAAAATAATACCCTATAATTCTCACCCTTGATTTTCAATTATAAAAATTATAAGAGCATCGTTGTAGAAAAAAAAATGTTTTTAAAATTATTGTCCATTGTAAACAATTTTATAGTGAAGTGACTTAAACAGGAATTTGTACAATTAGAATTTCACAAACTCAAAAAGGTAATTTTGTCCTCTAAACACCTTCTCGTCTGGGATTGTACCATAAGGAATTAGAATACACCTTTTGAAATAAATTACCCTCTACACATTTTTTCAAAATATTTCTTCTAGAAATGATTCCTTGAGAACCTTTAAACAATAGATATTTCTAAACTATACATATTTTAATTGAGGAAGTACTAAAAATTATGCAGATCTATGTGAACCAAAATTGAGCAGGGAATTTAATAAAAACCTTTTTCTTAATACTGATCATGAAGATGAATTAATTTATAATTTATGTGGTTAGAGATTGACTCAATTCTACGGTTGAAATAAATACATTTATATTATGAAATTTTCAGCAGTAAACCCTTTTAGAAAACAGTAAGGACAGAAGTTTAGTCGGACGGACAAACCTGGAGAGTTGGGCGCAACATTTAAATAAAGTTGGACGAAAATATATATTGGAGCTATATCTAAATCTTAAACTATTTCAACAAAACGTGACGTACGTCAAGCTGTCTTTAATTCAATATGCTGTGCAAAATTGTGTTGCTTTCAGACTAACCTTGGGAGTTTGGTGTACCATTTATATAAAATCAGAAGAAAATATATATGGGATCTGTATTAACCGATTTTAACAAAACTTCTCATATTTTAATCTGACCTTAATTCAGTACGCTTTGCAAAATGTTGTCTCAATCGGGCAAACATTGGAAGTTTGATGCACCGATCGAAAATATATATGTGAGCTATATTTAAATCTGAACCGATCTATCCAAAATTTAATACACTTTGTCCCAGACTCAAGTTTATACGATGTTCCACAATTAATTTTATACGTTATGCCAAAAGCCCTGGGAATTTGGGCTATATCTAAATCTGTACCGAGTTTTCAATACGCTTCGTCCTTGGGCCATATAAGTAACCTACTGGACATATCTATTGAAATTATTTTCCAATGTCAAGCAATATACCCCATCATTCTATTTCTTAGAGTGTAAATTCATACTGGTGACTCAGGGTATGTCACCAGTATGAATTTACCACTTCCATCTTTGTATTTATATATATATTCTGCTTTGTCTCTATTTCATCAAGAATTAATAAATTCTTTAAATTTTCACTGGGAACATTTTGAAAATGATAATAAAACACTAAATCGAAAAATGCACTAATATATACCTAAATTATGTTTTGTCTTTATTCCATCGACCAGAAAGAAGACTAAATAATGCCTTTGATCAAATATACCCCACCATTCTATTTCCTAGAGTGTAAATTCATACTGGTGACATACCCTGACCATTTCCATCTTGGTATTTATATCATCGAGAAATATCCCCTACATTCTGCTTTGTCTCTATTTCATCGAGAATTAATAAATTCTTTTAATTTTTCACTTGGAACATTTTGAAAATGGTAATAAAACACTAAATCGGAAAATGCAATAATATATACCTAAATTATGTTTTTTCTTTATTCCATCGAAAAATTTCCCCTACATTCGGTTTACTAAAATATAAAAAGAAATTCAGGACATCCCCTTACCCCTTCCCATAATTTTTTTTCTTTGTCAGCACAGGTGTAATTGTTTTGTATAGGGTATCACATGGTCGTAGCACTTGTCTTTTTATGATTTTTTGTTTTATTTTTCATAATTTCCACTCAAAAAATATTTTCTACAACAATTAGAGAATATTGATCAGATAAAAGAAGTAATAAAAAACTAATGTGAAAAACCTTTCAATGTTATTGCTTAAAAAAACAATCCAAAAAATTCTAACACTACAGTTTTTTCTCCCTTCTCTACACAAAATTTCCCACTACAAAAATTTTAGAATATTTCAAAACACTACATTTCCCCACAACTTTCCACAGTTTCAACACTACAAGAACTCAAAAATTGTTTCTTCTTATCTTACCAACATAAAAAAACCCCGAATACCATTCATTCATTTATTTGGGGATGATAATAATTTCAATGATTTCCACCATTAAATTTGTCTCTTTCAACATTTCTTTTCATTTCATTTCATTCATTTTTAGCCGGAAACACTTAATTTACACAGACACTTGCCTTTTTGCGTGCACTTCCTTTACCATTCGTTCATTTCCCCCGTTTGTTTTCCACATTCCACATTTTGTTTTGAAATTATAACTCAGAGAATTTATTTTTGATTTTTGTTTCAATATTTTTTTTCATCTTTAATTTATGCATTATCACTTTCTTCTTCTTCAACGTCGACAATTTTTCGTTTTTTTATTATTTTACAAAATTACAATTTAAAACATAATAACTTAAAACTTAAACTTAAAATTATAATAAAAATAAAAAACAGGAACCAGTCCTTATATATAATACAAAAAAACTAAAATAAAAACTTATTTTTAAAAATGCTGTCCTGGGGTCGTGGTTGTCACTCAGTCAGTTGTTAGTGTAGTTGTGTGTCAATAAAAGTCTTCCTTGGTTTGTGTATGTATATAGGGGTATGTATATGTGTTAGTAAGTCTTCTATCTACGTATTTTTTACATCACTATTCTGTCCATCGTCTGTCTGTCTATTTGTCTTTCTGTCTCTTTCTAAACTAAAAACTAAGCCATAAAATTAAGTTTTAAAAAAATTCAGTACTTTTTTTCATGTTATTTGTTGTTGTTTTAGGTTTGCTTTTTTTGCGTTAGTGTTAGTAAAAATTATTTTGCACTATGACTATTAAAATTGGGGAGAGTTTGTTTTTTTTTTCATTTTTGGGGACATTTTTGTTGTTGTTGCTTTAGTGTTAAATAAAAATTTATGGAAATAGAATTACACTAAATACGCCTGCACATGGGGTCCTTGCTGCTGGCCAGGCTGTATTGTTTGGTTATTACTGCTAAGGGCCTGCGAAGAAGCCGCCACTGCTGCTGTAGCTTGGCCATTGTTGTTAGCTGCCACTTGCTGAATTTGCTGCTGCTGTTGTTGTTGTGAATGTTGTAGGGTTTGGGCACCACTGTGATCACCACTGGTAACCCTTTGCTGTTTGGGTATTTGTTGGGGCCGCCATGTTTGCGACATATTTGGATGATGCTGTTGCTGTAGTTGTTGCTGCTGCTGCTGCTGAGGATGATGCATGCTACGATGCAGACTATTTATGCCCTGCATAACCTGCTGCTGCTGCCCTCCTGATGGTGATGGCGAGGCTGGTGGCATCATCAACATTTGTTCATTGTCCAGTGTTGAATAGTCCGATTCAATACTGGAATAAATATGTTCCGATGGTGGGCGTGTCCAGCCCATTGGAACACCACCACCACCTGCACTGGCATGCTGATGATAATACTGTGCAGCTGTGGTGGGTGCTGCCTGAGCCACAGCATTGGGATGTAGATGTGTGCCAGTCGCCTGTACATGATGTAGCGTACCGGTGTGCTCGGGACCTCGTCTTTGGGGTCGTGGCGAAGGTGTTGCTGTGGTGGCCGATGAATAATGCTGCTCTCCTTCTCCCTCGGGACAATAGGCGGGAGGAGGTGCAGGTCTATACAAAATACCAGGACTGGCAGGTTGCTTAATACGCTCATGGTTATGATCAAGTGTATAATTGTTACCACTACGATAATCAACCGGCAAGGCATAGCGTAACTTTTCCCAAAAATGCCGATCACCTCTACGTATGTGATGCACAGCTGTTGTCTTCAAGTAGGGCAACAATTCTATATCATTCTCCGCCTCAAATATTGCCTCAGGTTCTTCAATTAACACCAATTTCTGGGGCCTACCACGCAGCGCATCATGCAAAGCCCTTCTCAATTCACAACGCGACCATTCTGTTTGCAGGAAATTTCTTGTCAACAATATCACAACACGCCTTGAGACACGTGATGCTTCCAAAATTTGATAGTGTGTTGCATCGTGGGACAAATCGCGATGTTGCAAACAGATACGTAAGGGGGGACGACCCGTCTCTAGCTCAGCCACCAAATATTGACCCACAAACTCAGAATCTTTGGCCGAATGTAGGAGTATGGCATCGTACAGCTTCTCAGACTCTTCACAACGTGGCCCAAATACACGCACACCATAATGGGCGAATAGCCAAATACGTAACGACTCACGAAACACAAAAATGATGATGACAACAATGAGCAGGAAGACCAATGCCAAGGCAGCTGCCAATAATGGTATGTACGTTTTTGGTATGCCATGTTGCAGCATCGAACCGCCAGCATAATAGTCACTGCAGGCGGCTGTTACATTAAAGTCCAATTCACGTTTTCGGCTGCCGCCACCGCTTCCACCATAGCTGCTGCCGCCACCGACACCACCAATGATGCCACTGTTGTCCATGGTGGCATCTTCCATGCAAAAGATATCCTGGGAATCTTGCACTATCAACGCATTGTCAGCCACATATGAGGTCAACTCTTGCAAAAATTTGCAACGACATGACCAGTGATTACGGCCCAAGGCAATGGTGCGTAGCGCACGGAATTGTGGCAGCTGCAATTGCCATATGGGCAGAGTCACCAAACGATTGCCATCTAAGCGAAGCACCTCCAGCGACTGCAGTGGAGCCAATGTGGCATTCTCAATGGATGTCAACAGGTTGTTATGCAGGTAGAGCTCACGCAAAGCTGACAAATGCTCAAACTCGTAGCCTTGCAACGTTTGCATTAGATTGTCCTCCAAATGCAATATCTGCAGTGAGATGAGGCCGGCAAAGGTGCGATTCTGTATGCTGGCCACACGACTGGCATTGACAAACAATGACTTGAGGTTCTTGCGGCCGATGAAGGCATGGTTCTTGAGAACGGGGAAATTATTGCCGTCCAGATACACGACACTCGAATCCATGGGTACACGACGCGGCAGTTCCATTGTCTGCTGGCCGCCACAGTCCACCACGTTCGTGGACCATATTTGATCATGATAACATGTGCAATTGTTGGGACATGTCATCTCGCAATCACAGGCATCAAAATCACAGCAGTGACACAGAGCGAAGCAGTGCGAGTCGTAGCGGCAGAGGAAGTCTTGCGGCTGGAGCGAGGCCAATGGCCGGACGGGAGCACCACGAGCATGTGGCATCACACACTCAATGTTATGGGAATCCATGACTCGCGGATGTTGTCTGGTGGTGAGGTTATTGATGCGCTGTAGCCAGTCCATGGTGCAGTCACATTCGAAGGGATTGCCGCCAAGGTAAAATTCGGGCAGGGGCTTGAGTGGGCCCACTGGAGCCACACGCAGTTGTTGTAATTGCAATTTGGCCAGGGCATTAGCATACAAATCGACACGAGCCAAATTCACTTTGTCCACGAAGGTATTGGGCAGAATCGTGGATATTAGATTGTTGTTGATGAACAGTAGCTCCACCGTGTTGGGTATGGACATGGGACCAATTTCGGTAATGCGATTGTGGCTGGCATCCAACGTCTTTACACGAATTTCCTCTTGTAGTTTATAATAATTACCCAATGATTCAATGTAATTGCCATGGATATCCAACCATTTGAGATTTGCTGGGATGAAGGCATAATCGAACCATACCAAATGATTTTCCGACAAATTCAGCCACAACAAAGACATCAATGTGGCAAAGACACCATTTATATCGGAGAGAAAATTGCGATCCAAACGTATGGCCTCTAATTCGTAATTCTTATCGAAGGAACCCCGCTCAATGCTTTGTATGCGATTTTTGGCCAAATTTAAAACACTAAGCCGCGACAGATCTGCAAACATGCCCACTGAGATATTGCCAATTTGATTGTCAATCAAACGCAAACCGGTCAGCTGATGGAGATTTTTAAAGCTATCATTGTCGATGGTACGTATTTGATTTTCACCCAAATCCAGGGTTTTCAGCATGCTAAGATCTTGTATGGCACGTGGAACTTCGTTGAGTTGATTGGAGCTCAAATCCAATTCCTTGAGATCGGAACAATTTTTAAAGACATTTGGTTCGATGACCGAGATGAGATTATTGTTCAGCGTTAGTTTGGAGAGTATGAAGAGGCCATTGAAGAGTTTGTCATCCAAGGTGTGTAGACGATTTTCAGCCAAATTCAGGGTGTGTAGATTATACAATGGCAGGAAGGCATCTTCTTCAATGTGGCCAATGGAATTGTTGCGAAGATTGAGATTTTGTAGGAAATACAATTCCTTGAAGGTGCGATAATCAATGCGGGTCAGGGCATTGTGGGCCAAATTTAATTCAATTAAACGTATCAGGCCGGCAAAGGTGGTGTTGTCAATGTGATTGGAGGTCAATTGATTGCCGGATAAATCCACTACCAGCAATTGTTCCAAACGATGGAAGAGACCCTTGGGTAGTTCGTACAGTTCATTGTTGGACAAATGGATTTCACGTAATTCCTTGGAGCCGGCAAACAAACCTTCAGGTAAGGTTTCCAAATGGTTGTTACTCAAGTTGACAATACGTAGTGAGGATAGCCCGGCCAAGGCCTCTCCTGACAATTCGGAGATATTGTTATTTTGTAAATTCAAATGCTGCAGACGTCTGAGGCGGGAAATACCCCATGATTCGGTAATTGAACGTAATTCATTGAAACTGGCATCCAAAGTTTGTAGCTCACTACCACCATTACAATTCATATCGGCAAAGCCAAGATTCTCAGCTGCCCTAATGCGATTTCTTGTCAAGTTCAGGACTTGTAGATTTCCAACTGGACACAGAAAACCAGGTGGTAGGGCCCTCAAATTATTATCGGCCAAGTGTAGTTCGGTTAATTGTTTCAACCCATACAGGGAGTCTGGGAATAGTTCCAAAGTCTTGCTTGGCCCCCAATCGGAATTGTGGGTATTAATCACCAGCGTCTTCACGGTATTCAAACCCTCAAAGGCATTATTGGGTAGCTGTAGCAGTTTACATGAACTCAGCCGCAATTCATCGAGCGTTTGCAAACGAGCAAATGCCGCCTGTGGCAATTGCGATTCGAACAAATACAAATCACTGCATCTTATCTCCAGTTGGCTGAAACCATCAGCACCTTGTAAATCCAATGCCAGCGAACGTTCAATGAGACGTAAATTACATTTAACCGATGTGGTACCATTGTACTGCCAGGAACATTGATTTGTGGCCGGTTGTGGTATCGTTGATGGTGGTGCTAGCTGTTGTTGTTGTTGCTGCTGCAGCAGTAGCTGCTGTTCGACGGATGTGCCAGTGGCCAAGGCGGCTACTTGACCAATATTTGATGCTGTTGCACTAAAACATTCCATATGCAGTGCAAACAACAATAGCATAGTCCATAGATATCGATGGAGGCAACAGCATATCCAATTGTCCATATTGTGGGATTTTCTAAAGTCCAACATTTTGGTGTTATGGTGAAATTTTGTTTGCTAGTTATAGTCCACAGGGAGTTTGGATTTGGGGTTGTAGGGGAGGAGGATTTGTTGATTTTTTGTTTCTACTTCAATTTTTTCACTTTTTTCAATTTTTGTGAATTTTTAGAAATTTCAAAAATTTTTTACACATTTTTCTTGTTTGGTTTGAAAGAGGTTTTTTCTCCTCTTGTCTTTAGGTTTTGGGTGTAATTTAATTTTTTACTCTAACACACACACACAAACATTTACACAACTGTTTCTCTGGGATTGTTAGGTTTGCAACATTTTTTTGTGTTATTTTTCGTGGCACTTTTCCACACTTAGAGGCGTTTTTTCCAAAATATTTTTCACTTAGAAATTTTTCCAATTTCAATTTTTTGTATTAACAAAATAATTTTTATTATATCCGAATTTTTTGATGTTCTGGGTTTCTTATTATCCATTCACTTGTTCGGCGATTTTTTTCTTGTTTTTTTCACGAATTTTCAACTTCGTTTAGATTTCCACATTTGCTTTATATTCCTTGTATTTTTCGGTTTTTCACAAAACAAAATTTTTCTTTCTTATTCGTCGTCGTTCAGGTCGTTTTATGTTACTTTTTCACATTCGTCGGTTTTTTCGTTTTTCCTTCTATATTATTTGTATACACTCTGGGGTTCTTTCATTGCTGTATTGAAGTTAGTTCCACAAACAAAAACCGATTTTTTCATTCTTTCATTACTTCTACTGTGCTGTGTTCAGTGTGTATGATGAACAAGAAGAAATCAACGAACGTTTGGAATAGAAATTATTTTGCGCGTCATTTACACGTCCGCTCTTTTAGATGCTCGGACTCGAACTGATTTTTGAAAAATTCAAACAAACATCAAGTCCATGCCCATGAATGGTACGTACAATTGGCTTGCCACACAACTCCAATGGCTGAGACTTCGTTATAGCGGTGCCAAAGAGTGTGTGTGGTTGTGAGTGTACAATTTACACTCGTTACAAAAGACGAAACGACGACTATGGCTGATGATGGTGGCCAAAGGCATAACAGTGGGAAGAGTAAGACTAACAAAGAGCTAAAATATAGAGAGAGAGAAAATATGGGAGAGAACTCAAATAGAGCGGGAGAGTACTCAAATAACAAATCAAACAGGGTGAGAATATTTTAGTTGGCAAGCATTTGGAAAGATATGTTTGCATAAAAATTATTAAAAAAATTAAAATAAAAACAATATTTTTTCAATTTTCCATATTTTTATGCTCCCCATTTTCTCAATTTTATCCTCTACGAGCACCGTTTTATTCCCAATAATCCTTCTCCCCTTAATCAGAAGCAAGTAGCGCTTTGGTATATAGCGGTAAAAATTGGAACTACACAAAACGGACCTTTACCTTATCCTTGAGTAAAAATATAAACAGCTTGCTCTTTTCACCGCACCCTCTTTGTCAACCTATCTGTCTCTCTCCTGAATATCCTTTAACATATCCTTGCTACCAACAAATTAGTACCAAAACCGAACACCATTTTCATAAAGGGCGCTAATGTGTAGCCAATGAGAGATGGCACTCAATGCAACAGAGAGAGAAAGAGAGGGAGAATTATCCGAAAAGTGGGAGAGAGAGTGACAAAGAGAGTAATAATAAAATAACAAACTCTCTTGAGTGAAATTTCAAAACAATTCACAATACTCCACTATCTTCAGTTATTTTAGCTCCTCTCTCTTATTTTCACACATTTTCCTTGAAGCAACAACAACATCAGAAAAAACATCTGAAAAATCCCACAATTTTAATGTGACGATGCATGAAATTAAAGTATTTAGAACTTTAAGACATTGTAGCATTCTGGCATATGATTTCGGGTGTGAGCACACAAACACATGCACCGTGGTCAATATTATTACAGAGGCGGCAAATATAACAAACAATCATCACATGCAAAACAACCTGATTTTCAATGCCACCAATCCAATCTATCCGAATAATAAGGTGCGGCAAAATAATTTTGAAATCTTTTAAAGTTAATAAAATGCTTTCTTATACACAGAGTTTCATTAACTTAATTAGCCATGGCTCTAAAGAAGTGTGTGTGTGTTTGCTCTTTTTTTCAATTTCATACATGGTTTACTATAAATGAGCAGTTTTCTTATGGGAGCGTAAAATATTGGCAATAGTTTTTTGGTCGGAACATTTAAACATGTAAATGATTTCCGTTGCACCTGATTTGAAATTGATTGAATTTGGGGTCTGTGTTTATCATTGGAGGCTAATTGATGCAGTAGTTGTTTTCTATGACACCGGTTTACATCAATGAAATGTGACTATAACTTTTAAAATGCCTCATATAAGATAGAATTTTTATATCATATAAGATGGAATTTATATAGTAGATTCTATATATTTTTATACCTTACATACATGTTGTCCTCCTTAATATAAAATTCGATTCAAACTATTTTATATATTCCTCTAAAATTTTGCCCACATATTAGTATGATTTGGAATATTCTCTATTTAACGATAGATTTACTGGCATTGTCAATATAAATTGGTAATGTGGTATTTTGAATTTATGTGTAGGGTTATAAACTCTGTGATTGAAACCCACTTTTGGCGGATCATTCTTCATGAAGTATGTAACACAGAATGATATCATGTGGATACTGAAAGGTAGAAGTGATATGTTAGCACTAAACTCAAATAGATGCCAAACAGAAACAAATTCCAGATAATCAATGTGTACATTTTACAGTACTGTCGATTTCTGATAAAATCATAAAAAATAGGTGCAGAATATGACAAACCAAAGAAGAGCATAACTTGTGGATAAAATATTAAAAATCGCTTAATATTTTGATTCATATATGTGCAAAATCTTCGAATTGAGTTGTTTTTCATTTTAATTATAGCCGGCCCGGTCCCGGGTTTCTTTTATCGCATATTTACATTAAGCAAACGGTACTTTTTGTAAATATTTAATTATACCCGGCCCGGTCACAGGGTTTCTTTTATCGGTTTTAGCAAAAGATTTTTTTTTTTTTTTTTAAATTGTAATTATACCCGGACAGGCTCCGGCATCATAATTGCGTACAAATATAGAAGATATAGTGGAATCGTTGGAAGCAATAGGGGAAATGGCAAGATTTAATCTGGATTTATTTCTAAGAAGCAGAAGTTTCAGGTCAATTGTAATGAGTCCGAAGTCCGAATATTTTATAGAATTATATTTTTTGTACCATGTTTGAACGAACTGTAAATATAACAAGCAGATCTCTGGAAATCATACAACTTTATTTAAAATATCTGAAAGTGGATCTATGGATCACTATGGGGAAAGCGAAAGATCCACGACGACAATTTAGAAATAGAAGTCTTGATTTGAAATAAAGATTATTTTTTAATAAGCAAAACATTCAATATATACGCAATACATTAAGAGTAATGAAGTTATATATATATATATATATATATATATTTAGTTAGTTAGTTTAGTTATGAAGTTATATTTTATACATTTTTATGATCTTAATGAATATAAAATAGCCTAATGAATATAAACATTTTCACGATTAGTAATGCTTTTCCTTGTATTTTCTATTAAACATATTTAAGGAAGCAAAATTTGACTTTTTTCACTTCGCACCACCAAAAATTATATTACTTTCACTATAAGGTTTATTATTCCCGATAACTTTCAAATATTTTAGACTCCTTGGTTTTCAAAATAGATCCATAAAGTATCCTGAATTTTTCACATTGTAAAGCACATGTAGTAAATACAAAAATCAACATTAATATCCTATAAAAGAATTCAAGCGTTATATATTATAGATCTATCAACACTATCAAATGTTATTAAATATTCGTTATTATTTTATACGATATAGTCTTTATAATGTAATTGTAATAATTTGGATATTCAAGCTCATCTAACATAGCCTCTAAGCTGTTCCAGGTACATAGTTAAATTTAGAGTTATTTTCAAGTTTCCTTCACGGTTCTTGTTTACTATTGGTTTCATCCTTATATTTAGTTTTATACCATCCTGCACAAAATCGATCTATTCATGACCTCTTGTCACTTAAAATCGCGTATCGATATCTCCTCGATTGAAATCAATGTCTTTCATATTACAGCACTGTCCGATTTGTTGATTTCGGATACAGGGCCCCTTCCGCACTTCCAAGCGAAGTGGTTGTAATTATGAGAAAATTCGAAACTTGGGTCAATATTAATAATGTTTAGTATGGAAATGTTTTATACAATAAGAACCCAACATACTAAATTACAGCCTATTCGGTTGCAAAACTTGTCCCAAATCTCCAATATTCCGAACTGATTGGATTATTCCTTTTGAGTCATTCGTAAAGACACTTACATTTTAAAGGGACAATCTTGAATTAGTGTAGGTCCGAAAACCAAAACTCAATTTTTTGAAACCTGGTAAAAGAGGGCCCATTTAAGCAGTTTTACGTATTTTAACTTTATTAGAGCTCTTTTCAACTTTCCCTCACGGTAATTATGTACTATCGGTCTTTTGGAAGGGACTGAAATTTTTTTGATATAGAATGGAACTGCCTAGTTTACGGTATTTTGAGGCTTGTAGTCGAATTTTCCTACCCAAAAAGCTCTAGTTTGCAATTTCTGGGTTTTATAGGCTGGTAGAAATCTGGGCAAGAAATGAGTGTTTTGACATAGCTCACCATTTTTAGGATATTGGGGAGTTTAGCCGAATTTTCATAACCATAGAGAGACTATATTCACTCAATAGTGGTGGATATAAGCTCGGAATCTTAATTTACAACAGAGTTGGATGTTGGAAATCGCAAAGTTTTAAAGGATAATTATTTACGGATTTTGAATAAAAAAAGAATGGATTTTGAATAAAAAAAGGATTTGAATAAAATGTAATAATTTATTCCATATAAATAGAGGAATTCCTCAGAAGAAGTCGCCAAAAAAGTGACGAAACGTCGTGAAAAATGCAATAACACAACTATGTTGTCAGGGTATTATAGCTTTGTGCAGCCCCAAGACCAGCCTTTAAGTATACCGATCGTCATATCTCGACTAGCTGAGTCAATCTAGACATGTGTGCCCGTCCGTCCGTCTGTCCATTATAATTTGTAAACACGATACAGGCCACAGTTATGGACCAATTTTCACAAAATTTTGAATGTAGGATGGGTTCTGGCCAATGAAGACCCCTATTGTTTTTGGTAAAGATCGGTTAATATTTAGGGGATGAAATGGATCAAATACTTAATTTTTGTCGGTTTTTCTGGTCGCTCCAGAGGCCGCAATTATGGCCTTAACATCTCGAAGTTTTACATGGAGAAGGTGATCGGACCAAAGAATATGCATACTTGTTTTGATAAAGATCGGTCAATATTTAGCGGGTCAAATGGACCCTGACTTTTGTGTGAAAAATTACAAAATTTGTATTCTATGGCGTATATATTTATTCCTGAAGGACATAGACCCGAGAAGTTGATCTTTAAATTGATATAAATTATATTGTCGTAGGTACTCGGATGCGGGAGTTACACTTAACTATCTACAGGTGCTTACGTATTCATATATTATATAGTAACCTATTATCACACTGGTGAGCGGAGATATAGAGCTGATCGCTTTGAAATGTTCCATGAGGTTCCAGTTATGGTCAATGACAACGCCTAAAATGTTAGGTGATGATCACATAATTATTTTTCGGATGAAGTGGACCGAAAACTTAATTATTTGTACTTGTAGAGTCGAAAGCCGAACATCACAACACAACTCACGGTGTAGGGAATCTGGACAAGTCTGTACTGTACTGATTATTAGTAACATTTGTTGACCTCTAACCAGCCAAAAGTGTGCAAATATCGCAAAATATTGACCAATCTCAGAATATAGAACCACAGAAAGTTAGATTTTCTTGGAAGTTGTGTAGCCCCGTCCGACTATACTGCTCCACTCACTGGTTTTATTTGCAAAAGTAACCATGGCCAGTATTCCAAAATTATCGTAATAAATGAAAATATATCTGTTCGCAAGCAATTTTTATACCCTTCACCACTCTGTGGTACAGGGTATTATGTCTTTGTGCATATGTTTGTAACAGGCAAAAGGAATCGAGATAGACCCATGGTTCCTTTTGAGAATATGCATAGAATCACTTTCTGAGTCGATTTATGCATGTCCGTCCGTCCGTCCGTCCGTCTGTCCGTCCGTCCGTCCGTCCGTGTAGATGTTAAATTGTAAACAAAGTACAGGTCGCATTTATGATCCGATTTGGATGAAATTTGGCACAAGTCACTTATTCGGCCCAAGGACGAACCCTATTGAAATTGGAAAAAATCGGTTCAGATTTAGATATAGCTCCCATATATATATTTAACCGATTTAATGTAAACGGTCCCTATATATCTTTCGATTTGCACGAAATTTGGTACAGCCTAATCATTTAGGTCTAAAATGATGTCTGCCAAGTTTCGGGAAAATCGGTCCAGATTTAGATATAGCTCCCATATATAGTTTCGTCCGATTTCATGTAAATGGTGCACCAAAGTCTCTATATATCCTTCGATTTGCACTAAATTCGGTATAACGTACTTAATTTGAGCCTAGAATGATGTCTGCCAAGTTTCGAGAAAATCGGTACAGATTTAGATATAGCTCCCATATATAGTTTCGTCCGATTTCATGTAAATGGTGCCCCAAAGTCCCTATATATCATTCGATTGGCACGAAATTTGGCATAACGTACTGAATTGATCCTAGAATGATGTCTGCCATGTTTCAAGAAAATCGGTCCAGATTTAGATATAGCTCCCATATATAGTTTCGTCCGATTTCATGTAAATGGTGCCCCAGAGTCCCTATATATCTTTCGATTTGCACGAAATTTGCCATAACGTACTGAATTGGGCCTAGAATGACGTGTGCTTAGTTTCATGAAAATCGGTCCAGATGTAGATATAGCTCCCATATATAGTTTCGTCCGATTTCATGTAAATGGTGCACCAAAGTCTCTATATATCATTCGATTTGCACTAAATTAGGTATAACGTACTGAATTGAGCCTAGAATGATGTCTGCCAAGTTTCGAGAAAATCGGTCCAGATTTAGATATAGCTCCCATATATAGTTTCGTCCGATTTCATGTAAATGGTGCCCCAAAGTCCCTATATATCTTTCGATTTGCACAAAATTTGACATAACGTACTGAATTGAGCCTAGAATGATGTCTGCCAAGTTTCGAGGAAATCGGTCCAGATTTAGATATAGCTCCCATGTATAGTTTCGTCCGATTTCATGTAAAGGGTGCACCAAAGTCCCCATATATCCTTCGATTTGCACGAAATTTGGCATAACGATAATGATTTAGATATAGCTCCCTTTTATTATAGATTGATTTTAAGTAATTGACGCGACAAGGAAGCAATAGGGTGTTAGGAACAAAACGTTCTGAAATTAGTATAACCTAACCTGTGACAAGTTTGTGTGAAATCGCTTAATATTTGGATAGAACTTCCATATATATTTTCGCCCGATTTCAAGTAAATTGGGCATCAAACTCCTCATGTTAGTCAGATTGACATCAAATTCTGCACAACGTACCAAATTGAGCCTAGAATTACGTATTTGCGTTTTATAGAAGTACAGACATTCCCCAACGGATGACCTATTTATATTTGTTTGAAGTCGATTTACATACTTTTGTCCCATTGTAACATACGAATGACATGTTAATGGATAGATCTAGGTAGATTCACATTTAGATAAATATCACATATTTTATTTCATCCAATTTCATGTTAATAGTCCTGTTTAATATACCCATAGTGGTGAAGGGTATCATATAGTCGGCCCCGTCCGACTTTACTACTTTCCTTACTGGTTTTAAGTTGTGAAAAGTTTCAAAATCGTTATAAAAGAAATGTGATTTGGTTGTAAAACATGAATACAGTATAATTTGATCATCGGGCTAAAAAATCTTTGCGTCATAAATTGTGTAAAATAAATTTCAATTAACAGCTACATATTCTGTGAATTAGTGGATATTATTGATTTCTCCATCACGTGGTAAAGAAACGTAATAGGAAATGAAAGTTGGATTAATTTTTGTTTGTGAAAATTATCACATTTGTAATAGCTGTTAACTGAAGTTATGATTTTTTTTTATTTTTAACAAAAATATGAATATTGACCACTTTTCATATTGGAAACCCGTAAACTTTCCCACAACAATCATGCCCCTTATAGCTTTATTCTAATAGTATTCAAATTCTTCTTATATGATTTTATCATCCGATAAGAGCCAATATGTCTAACACACATTCATTTCAATATATTTTTCAACACCATATAAAACCAGAAAAACAAAAAAAATTGTCCCACAACAGTGATTGTTTTCTTTTTTGTTTTTTTGATCGCCCCCGGAGTGAACTGCATCTTGTGGATAGTTGTGTTTACCCCTTTTGTTCCCCAGTGTCTCTTTCTTTGTTGTTTGAAACTATAAAACATAATTTCTTTTCTTCTTCGTCGTCGTCGTTGTCTTCAATTTTTTTTTGTCAACTGCTGATAGATGTGAAACATATTGCCTCATTGTGTATTAATCACGAAATAAGAAAAAAATCGACCGACAAATCTCTAAACATAAATTCTATAAACTAATCCTCTACCCAGAGAAATAAATGTGAAAAGAAACCAAAGGAGTTTGTTGCTGCTACAGCATCAGCACCTCTCACATGTGCGGAAGCAGAGTTTTAGTGGATTTTTATTTTATTTTTAGTTCTCAACAAAATAAAAAAGGGATTTTGTTTAAATGAAGAAAGAATAAAAATTATCTCTAGGTGTTTTTTCTTTCTTTGTTTTTATTTATAAAAATCTATAATGTGTGGTGGTAGCTGGCTGGTGTTCGGTTGAAGATCCCTGCCTGCCAGCCTGCTTTGATAGAAATTATATCACTTCTGACCACTTGAGATGTATTTTTAATGAAATTAATGTTGTAGTCAGTTCGAAATTTGTGTACCTTTGTTTGTGTGTGTGTGTTTGTGTCGAATCATGGCAAGTTGATGTTGATGAGATTTAAATTCCCTTTGGCATGCTAAAGGCACGCGTTATGTTTTAGTTGTGGGTGATTAACGAATATATATGGACAGGAAAACTAAATTCCATGGGTATGGGAGCTAGCTGGCGAACAGTTGCTGCTGCTGGGGGATTAGTGTTGCGAATGAACCATAAAATGTTATTAATTATCAAGGGTTAAGGTGAAAGTGTATTTTTCTGTGATTCTATGAAAAGAAATGCTTTTCATAGAGAAGAAAATACCCCCTCCTCCTTACATCAATGCAACCGACCCCAACCAATGCACTTTTAGTACTAAATTTTCTGATAAATATTGCCATTGGAATTGCTCTTTATGACACATAACAAACACACTCAATTTCTCTTGAGTATATTTTCTCTCCCATCTCTCATATGTTTTGTACTAAATTCGCTCTCAGTTACTCTCTCAACCCCAACAATTTAACAAAATTCAAATTTTCTTCATTTCTCTTTCTCTCAATTTGAGTAAATTTCCACTCAAAGAGAACACCACCTAACTTAAGCAATGAATACGATGTTGCCTTCCACTTTCTGATGTTCTTACACACAACTCTCCTCACATGGTTGCAAGGCATCAGTGTTGGCTTTTTGATTTGGTCTTTTGTTATTTAATAACAGCCTTTGATGGAACTGGTTCAACTTGTTCAAATTAATAATAAGTTCCCCGTAAATCCCCGAGCGTACGTACGTATGTGTACGTACTACGAATCGCACAAATTGTATATTACGTTGCTGCAGCACTAAGAGTGGGGGCCAAAATACGTATTAACCATGAACGGTTTGGACGGATGGATGGTTGGAGGAACAGCCAGACAGACGGACTTAAGTATGACCAACACCAATGGTGTTTTGGTTTTCATTAATGGGTGCAAGAAACCAGCAGCAGCAACAACAACAACGTGTTGTTTTTCATAAAAAATGAAGAGAAAAAAAATCCTAAAGAAAAATCGTATCAAATCATGTTGTCATGAAGGCAAAAAAAATAAATAAAACAAGATTGGTTTTCTGGAATAGAAACTAGATTTTGATGCTGTGGAAATTTTCAAAATAATAAGACATAAGGAAAAAAATGAAAAAACAAAGTGAAGCAATATGAGTTTGAAAATGAAAAAAAATTAGCGAGCAAGAATGTTGTGAAGTGTTTGGTTTTGCAGCTTGATTAAATTTTAATTTGATTATCAGGTCCAGGTTTTCAAAAAATGTCGACTTACATGTTAAAATGTGTAAAATGGATTTTTAATTAACAGCCACATTTTCTGTAAATTAAATCGTATTATTGAAATTAAAAACAAAAATAAACTACGCAATATCTTTAAATGAAATAAAATATATTGATAGAAAAATAAAACGAAATTTGGGTTCCAAATTTAGTGGATACAATTTCAAAATTAAGTGATGTCTATTAAAGTATTTCAGGACTATTACAGTGTCATATATTCCATCCATCATGTCATATATTAATGGATGTCCTTTAGTGGATTTTGGGAATAAATTTTGACTTGGGAGAATATTAAGAAAATTATTTTTTTGGGTTCAAAATTCAGTGGATGATATTCTAAAAAGAAAGTGATATCTATAGAAATTTGTATGTCCACGTTTAGACTATATTACCGATATCTATTAAAAAATTTCACGGCATTAACAGGGTCATATATTCCATGGCTTAATGTTGTCTGTTTATGGATGTCCATGGAACGAAGTTGGCGGATTTTCTTTTTTCTTCGGAAAAAACATTTTGACTTGGCAGAATATTGCGAAGTCTTTTTCTTTATTCTTCACAAATATTTCAATTTTATGGGATATTTGAAATGTGCATATATAAATTTTTTCTATGCCTTCATGTTGTTTACTTATGGATGCATTTGGAACGAAGTTGGTGGATTTTCTTTAATTCTTGGGGAACAAAATGTTGACTTGAAATAATATTGTGTTTTTTTTTTAATTCTTCACATATGCATATTTATTTTTTATGAAAATCAGACGACCCAATTGACATGATTTGGTTAAAATTTTAAAACTAATATTTAAAAATTTAATATTTAATTTTTTCTTTATAATAAAAAAACGTAGCCCTACACTACTTTGTGTATATTGAAAAAGTGCCATTAGATTATAGTTGGCTATAATATGAAATCTAATGGCACGTTCTGTTCTATATAATGTATGTGATTTATATATTTAAAAATTTTGGAGTTGTATTCAAATTTCATGTTTATTGGACAGACGTAGAGACTTAGATGTATTTGATCGTTTCGGCAAAATTTTAAATTAATACGACACATTTGTACATGAAATCCTATTTGCATATATATTTTATTCAAATCGATTTAATCAATAATACAAACAATTTAATTGTTATGGGAAAAAATGATGTTGACAGAAACAATACATCGTAATTGGTGTATACTAAACATGGAATCGGACAAAAAATATCTGGAATCGATTTCGTCTCAAATCTATTAAATGTGCAAAATTACTTTTTAATCGTAAAAGGGTAACGTCAATGTTGCATAATTCGCCAGTTTCAAAATTATTAAAAATTTAGTGAATGAATTACACCTTGTTAAAAAAATCCAAAGATAAAGGACCAAAGCGAGTTCTAAAATTGATTCTATGTATGTGCTAAAACTAAAGTATATATCTATATTGTTTTCTCTTGCATGATACTTACAAATTCATTAATATATATTATTCTGAAATCTATGCAAAATTGTATGAAATCTGAACCGATTTGAAGAGACCTTGAGACATGCAGCACAATTCGCTGCCTAAAGTTACATCTAAATCAATCAAACTGTGGCAATTTGGTACAAATTTAAATGAAATCGGACAAAAATATTTACATTGTGCAATATTTCGTCGCAATCGGAAGAGTATTGGGAATCTACGTCTAAAGGGATTTCATTTTTCGTAGGCTCAGTATCATACTCAGGCCTCAAATAGATCGAAATATTTTGTTTTCAGGTCGCATTTATGATATAAATTGAATGAAATTTTGCACAGGTCACTTATTTGGATTAAGGACAATCCCTATTGAAATTGGTGAAGATAGCTTGAGATTTAGATATAGGTCCAATATATATTTTCGCCTGATTTTAAGTAAATTGTGGTTTTGTTGGAATCGGCGCAGATTTAGATATTGCTCCGATATATACATTCGTTCGATTTTATGTTATTGGCGCACCACAGATCCAAAATATGGCCGATTGGCACAACATTCTGCGAAATGTACTGAAGTAAGTTTAAAAAAATCTCTGACAAGTTTCGTTGAAAACGGTGCAGATTTAGATATACAAATTGGTGCAAAAATTGGCAAAATGAACTGATGATTGTTTTGTTGAAATCGGTTAAAATACATCCGATTGTAAATAAATAGTGCACTAAATACTCAAAATTTGGCCGATTGGCACACAGTTTTGTTGAAATAGGTTGAAATTACGATATAGCTCTAATAAAGATATTCATCCGATTTCACGAAAATGGTGCAACATTTGTTGTTGTTTTATTTCTCGGAATGTTATATCACAACTATCATCAAAATACATAATATTGGACGATTTACTATGGTGGAACCTTTATATGGAGACAACTTGAAAACTTAGACTCGGTTAAAATACAGGTTTTAGTGCCAGTGTTTCTTGATTTAAAATATTTTTTTATTTTTATTTTTATACCTTTCACCACACTGTGGTACAGGGTATTATGTCTTTGTGCATATGTTTGTAACAGGCAAAAGGAAACGAGATAGACACATGGTTCCTTTTTAGAATATGCATAGAACCACTTTTTAAGTCTGTCTGTCCATGTATTTTTGTGAACAAAGTACAGGTCGCATTTATGATCCGATTATCTGGCCGAAGGACGAACCCTATTGAAATTGGGAAAATCGGTCCAGATTTAGATATAGCTCCCATATATATTTTCGTCCGATTTAATGTAAATGGTGTACCAATGTCCCTATATATTGTTCGATTTGCACGAAATTTGGCATAGCGTAATGAATTATGTCTAGAATGATGTGTGTTTAGTTTCCTGAAAATCGGTCCAGATTTAGATATAGCTCCCATATATATTTTAGTCCGATTTAAGGTAAATCGTGTACCAATGTCAATACATATCTTTCGATTTGCACGAAATTTGGCACAGCGTGATGAATTAGGTCTAGAATGATGTGTGTCAAGTTTAGTCCGATTTTATGTAAATGGTGCGATGTGTGTAATATTTCTTGAAAAT